ACGTGCTTCATTTTTCCATGATCTTAAATATTTGACCTTCTAGGAGTATTTAGAAAAATAATAAAATTAGGAAGAATATTTTGGTGCAATAATTATTAATGGAATTCCTGGAGGCAGATTGAAATTACTTAGGTTTCTGTGTCTTTTCTATACAGTCAGAATTTTTCATCTTTTCATTTGGGGAGAAATTTCAGTCAAAGATTGATTATTATTCTCTACCAAAGAGCATCTTAAATCACAATGCTTTAAAAACTTAAATCTTTTTCATTAATCTCCTTAAAATATCAAGTTTTGTATCGTTCACCTTACCTGGTTTTAGTTGAAACAAATTTTTATTTTAATTTGGGTCATTAGAAAAGGAAATACACACCTTTCACTTTTTATATAGAATAAACTTTATTTTTATTATAGAAAAAGATAAAAATAAAAGTTTTTATGTACATATGATATGTAGTGCAAACGAAAGGCTCTTAAATACCACAGACAGACATGTTGTTGGAAACAAAAGGAGATGAATGATGGGGGTTAAGATGGTCGTCCTGGAACTGCAGGAGGGGGTCGCCTAGTAAAAACAAAACAAAACAACATAATAGAAAGAAAAACACAGATGCAGAGGAAGAAAACAATGTTTAAATTATGAAATGAATCCAAATAATAGCATGCAAAACTGTTCCACGAAAGTCAAATTCAAATCAGACAAAAAACAGAACAAAACAAAAACCAGGCACACGAGCAAGGGACATGGAAGGACCATAAGATGACATTAGTGATTGCCAGGTTATTCATTTCTGGCTACCAGCAGTACTAGGTCTGAGCCTACTTAATAATCTTATTATTTTGCACCATGAAATTATAAATTCATGCAATCATTTTTAGAACTAGGGATAGCGCCACAGCCAAACATCTTTATCACTTGCTTATTTGATTCCCAGCCCAGACTTTGTGACACTCGATTATTTCTGAAGAGTTACATGAATATTCTGCAATCTCTCCAGAGGGAAAAGGAATCGATACAGAAATGTGGCAAGTAAAATAATTTTAAAGTGAGGGAGGTGAGAAGATGGCAAGAGATCAGGTGAGCACGGTAATCACCGTGTACAAAATGGTCAGGGTTAATCTCATGGAAAGTGTTTTTAAATAAGAATTTGCTCCAGGTGAATAGTCTAGATTTGTGACAGCCTAGAATCAGGCCAAGGGACTGTAGGAGGTGAGGGTGGATCCACGGTGACCCCAAGATTTTGTAAGATTTCACTCGGCCTGAGAGGTAGGTGCGACTGATTTATCCTGCAGTGTGTTCAGAGTAAATGAAATTTAGTTCGCTGGACTTTTCTCCATGCCCTAGCTGGGCTCGTGCCTCTCTCATCAAGCCCACAGATTATGAAGTCACGCTCCAGAGCTGTGCTTCACTTGACATCAGCCTCTCTAGCATTTGCCAGGAAGATGATTTACAGATAGAGAAGACACAGCAAATACACATTGTTGTGAACAGCTCCGTAGTAGACAAGCCAAGTGAAGCCTTCCCACCAGTTTCCAGCAAAAGTCTATACCGTAATCTCCACTTTCAAACTAAATCTGGAATAAACTCAACACTGCAGCAGGCCAGAGAACTGTGAGGTTATCTTTCACCCTACTCTCTCTGGGGTTTTGCTTTGGCTGCTCAGCCAGGTGTTCAGCAACACTTCCATACTTGTTAATCTTGTAACTCTTCAGTAAGTGTAGCTACGATGTCTATAAAAAGCAAAAGCCAAAAACACTTTTTAAATTTTCTCTTTTGTGCGATGTTAACAGAGACAAACTGGTAGCTATTTCTGAGCTGTTCTTCCCCAAAGCCAAGACCAATGTTTTTCAGTCCACTTCAGGCAGGCTATCGTAAAGAGGCTGTCCGTTCATTTAAATGACGAAGAACTTGTTATTAGTACCTAACCTTTCAACTGCGGGGGATCTGTAGGCCTTTAGCTGGAGAGAGCCAGGTAATGGGTATCCCTGTTGTTTTCATGAAGAAAATGTAATTGAATTTCTGTCAGGCTCAATAAGATTTATCACCTGGCCAGCAAACGGAAACTATTTTTGAATTCTGAAGGGGCTTTAGAACACTTTAATTACCTCAGCAGGGAGGGGAGGTAAGCCATTAAATTGAACAGCAAGTCCACAGTGCTGAAGGGACTTTGTATGGGCATACACCAAATCACTTTCCTGTTGGAGCTAGTTGGATGCCCTAATCCAGGAATAAGATCAGAAACTGTCTTGAAATATATTTCACCCACAGCTAGAATGTTGGCTTCAAACATCAGTGCTATATCCCCTCAGACAGCTCTTTTCATCTTATCTTGCATCTAATTTTCGTCTCTTCGCCAAAAACCAAAACAAAACAAAGACACCCACTGTTGCTGATGCCAACATTTAGTGAGCAGGCCATAGTCAGTTCTGTCACGAATCTTGGCAGTTTGGGTTTCTCACTAATTCATTTCCAGAATTCTCTGTATTACTTAGAGAGCTTGAAACCAAGAACTGAATATATTGGGCTTTTTACCTGGAGAGCTACAAAGGTATCTCTTGCTGTTGTTGCCCCATTATGAAAGTTGGAGTCCTAAATCTGAACAGCGAATTGTTAGCAAATTTCAAAGCTCTTCACACTGGTATTTACCACATAAGCAAATCAACCTAATAAAGATAATAATTTGCAGTTATATTTTCTTAAACATTCTGAAAAACAATAAAGTTGTTTGACCAAAACACTAACATATAGAGATAGGAAAATCTGCATATGGGATATAGGAATAATTTATATATGAAAGACTCCATTATTATTAAGATCCAAGATACTGCAATTTAGTCTGATGGTGATCTTCCTCTGGCAGGATCCTCAGGAAGTTCTTTTTCATACATTTTTTTTCTTTTCTATGAAAATGTCACAAAACATTCTCCGCTTGCTTTGTTTGTCCATCATTTCAGGGAACTTACCGTCCCAGAACAGTGGGTGAGCCTCATGGCTTGGGAAAGCGAAGAAAGGCAACAGAAATAGGTACCCTAAATTTTTCTGACGATCTTTACTTTTTAGCCAACCTAGATCCCTTTCACAATAGCCTCACAAGGGTAAGGTAACTAATTCAACATAACTATTTTTGTGCAGAGTAGGACAAAGTAATATAGAAAATCCCCTGAATGCTACCCCAGGCTCATGAAGCCTCACTGCATGTGTCTCCAATCTGCTTCAGTCTCCTAATCCCTGGGACCCGCTTCCCGAGCCTCAGATGCTACTGTGGCAAAGCACCAGAGCCCTGGGAGGATTGCCCTAAACTGGGAGCTAATACTGCACTTTCAAGTGACTCTGTCACCCTCCATGTTGTTGGTGACAGTCTGGAGTAGCATAAGCACACTTAATTCATTTACCCTGGCCCTAAAGCCACTGAAGTGAGTAACAGAGAGCAACTGTCGGGCCAGGAACTCAATTTTTATTTATTTATTGTTTTTGGTACAGGGGTTCGAACTCAGGACCTTATGCTTGCAAGGCAGGTTCTGAGCCACTGAGCTAAATCCCCAGCCCAGGAGCTCAATTATTTACTGTCAGATGTGCTTTCTGTTGACCTAACATTTGAGTAGAACATTGTCCCTTCTCCTGCTCCTCAGATATTTTGACACATACTTATTTTTCAATGGTAAACATCACATACCCTCCAGCTATCTAAGGTTTGTATCCTCCAGTCTATTCCACAATTATTTCAAATAAGGGGAAAAAATCATGCCCATTCTCCTGTCTTTGATGGATCCAATTTGCTGTCTTTAAAATTTTTTCTCCTTCCCCTAACTAATGACAGAAAAGCAAAATATAACCACTTGCCATTTTGGTGGTTATGGGCCAAATCAAGCATAAAAGATATACATTTTTTATAGCCCCAGGTATTACTAAAATGCATAGACATGACTCATGTACAAGAATGAGGGAAGGGAGGGTCCTTCAAATGTTATAATTTATTTCGGGTTCAGAAATACAGCTTCACATTTTCACAATAGGTACATGTGACCTTCAAGAATGATACAGGCTTTAGGAATTTGCTTCAAAAATTCCATTCACAGAGTCCATATATCCGCAGTAAGAAATCCTGAAAAGTGCCAAGAAGACAGTGGAAGGTATTCTGGCTCATATTAATTAAGGAATCAACAGATAACACAAGATTTCACTTTTGTATGCTACTTCATAAAAAAAGTGAAAGAAGAATTCGACTCAGAAAAGGGAGAAAACAGGAATACAGACAAGTAGCAAAACAAAGGCTGTCTGTGTGAAATAAAACAAATCAAGTTAATAGTGGTAAGAGCTCTGGTTGGGAGAAATATGTAAAACAGATCGGCAGAGGTCAATGCAAGGGAGCAGAATAATTTTTGTCATAACTTAAAAATTACATCACAAGCAAAGTTTAAAGAATCAAAGGGTAGAGATTAAAATGGAATTAATGCTGAGCCACATGTGAAACCTCCACCTAAGAGGCAAGAAGTCTTGCCAGTATACCAGTACAAACAGTCTTAAACAGGAGACTCTTCCTTGAGTTTCCTCTCTTTCTTTCATACACATACTTACATATATGCATTTACACACACACACACACACATATACAAGTAGTAATGCACATACTACATATATTTCAAAAATATTCTTAAAGTTTCACATACAGAGCACCACACAGTTTTAAACACACTAGCTAGACAGAGTTACTAAGATTATCTAGAAGACACATTAGAGCTCTTTAGAAAGGACTGAGTGATCTGGTGAGCTATCCACTATTTCTCCAAAATCGTGCGACTTCTTTCCCATTAAGCTCTGAGCTCACAGATAATTGTCCTCTTGGTGAAATGGGACAAAACTCAGGGCCCGAGTCTCACCCGTGATCATTTTTACACTGACTTCAACAGTTCAGAGACCTACTACTTAGGCTTTATTCTTAATTCTAAGGGGGTTGCTGTCAATTTCAATTAATTATACCATTTGCTAACTGAAAAATGTTTACTTGAAAAAGGTGACAACCTACCTCCAAGGAATTAAGTAACTTCTCCCCTGCGTTTAAAAAGCAATTTTATTCAGAAAAATCCATTGCTTTTTATGTGGCTGAATACTTCTATTTTTTTCATTTCATATAAAGAAAAAATGATTATATAAATCAGCTTAGCCTTTGAACATTCAGCTTAGCAATCTAAAAATAACTTGTAATTCTACCTGGAGATCTTAAAGGAAGGTTTCCAGATCTTATCAAACTACATTGTCAAAGGTAATTCCATCTTAGATAGCAGTGCTGTGGATTTAGATACTAATGCCTGTGGATGTTACCTTGCTGTCATGGTTATTATAAGCTTTGTGCCTCTCAGAATGAATACGATCAGGAGTTACTAAATTTTGCATGTTTCATGTATGTTATGAGAAGTGAACCACTGTTATTGTGTGTTATCACAGATCTTCTGAAGATATCTTTTGAATTAACAGTTTAAAAAATATACTCACACATACTAAGCACATGTTTACATAGATATTTACACCCATACTTACACACACACACACACACATATATATGTATACATAATGCACATACAATCACACTCATGCTTGTGGCATTTTAACAAGTGCATCTAAACTTACTTAAAGAGAAACAAAATACATGTCCTTACAGGAACAAATTTACTATGTATATATGGTATACACAGAGACACATGCATAGAAAACATGTTTGTAAACAGAAAACATCAACATTTATCACATACTGGTATTAGGTCCCATTTAATATTGGAGAATTATGGCTACAGTCTATACTAAAAAGTCACAAAATTAATCTGTGTGGCTAATTTTTACCCTAAATTCAGAAGGTTTACACTTATATTGTAGAAACCAGTTTCATTGTGTTTTGGGATGAACATATAGCAAATCTGCTAATAAATAGACTCTACTGCTCTTCTATGTTATAAAACACAGCTAAAAGCAATACTCAGAAGGATATTCTTGGTAGGTAAATTCTGGAAATGCAATATGCCTGTTCTAAATCAACTATTTCCATAATCTGTCCACAGTTGAGTAAAGGATTATTCCAATTAGTCCACATGCATGCAACAATAAAATTAGATTTACCTATCAAATAAACATACACATTTAGCTTTTCCAAACCTAAAAACATCTTTCTTTTCCCATATGCTAGATGAGATGGAGCTATAGCTACTGTGCTGGGGACATCAGAACAATTAGAAGTGGAGTGGGAAACAGACGCTCTAAGCCACATTCCCATCCTAAGGCCTAATGTGCATGCTAAACCTCACGCTGTTCCACAGACATTCCAGAGCTTCGGACTTCGTTCACACTGGCACCTGCCTTTAGCAGGATGCAAACCCTTATGACACAGCAACCTGAAAATATTCTCAAATGTGACTGCTGAAATTTCAGGGAGACTCAGCTCTCCTAGACATAACTTAGCAAAGTGGAATAAAAACGTACGCTCAAGGGGAGACAAATGGGACAGTGCATCTGTGGGACTATAATCGAAAAACAAAAGCCAATGATGACAAATGCCATTGTTTATGAGTGCCTAAGATCAGTGGGAAGAGACTTGGGGAAAAAAAGTCTCCAATTTGTTTTTTGACATGGTTTGTGCTGATCTGAGAACACACCAGTGGTTGTCCACAATGTTTTCTTCTAACAGAAGGAAATTCTTGAAATACAGCAAAATGCAAAGCCACAGTTAGCACAAAGCCAAACCCTGGAGTACATAATCTGTTAGCTGCCTATTTTAGAGAATTCAAAGGAAGAAGCAAAGAGAATCCTAAAAAGAGGGAGTTTTATGAAAAGACTCACTGTAGATTGTTTTACTGTTTGTAGATGTAAGACTTTCCATTTATTTATTGTTGAAACGTACTTCATATTTTGTGCATTGATTCCATTTGCAAAGAGTTAATTTTTTTCAAAGAGAAAAAATAAGATATAAGAGGACATTAAAAGTGGAAATGTTCTTTCTGTAATCACTTATAAATTTGAAAGTTGATACAACCTTTTTCTAAATCTTGTATTCTTTATTTTTTTTTCCAATTACAAGTGGGGTAGCTGTAGCCCTTTAGAACATGGCAAATTCTCTTTTTAATATAGTTAAAAGTTTTTACTTCATACTTTATGAGTATCTGTCTTGGATATAAGCTGCACAGGAAATTAAAGTTAAATTAACATACAAATCACGTTTGTTGCTTTCAAAAGGAGACGTTTCAGTTAGTAAAATCTGATTTACTTCTGTCAAATATGAAATAATGTCATGAGACACCATGATTCAGTGAATACTTGCTTTGCTGTCTGGGAACAGTTAGCAGACCGAATTCCAACTGGCTTCTGACTGTTTCCTACATGTTAATCATCCGGTCCTCGGTAGTTCAAAACCCAGCCTCAAGACTGAACCTTAAATTCCAAGCTAAGCTGCTTTTTTTTTTTTGGTACCGGGGATTGAACTCGGAGTCCTTCGGCTTGCGAGGCAGGCGGCAGAACCACTGAGCTAAAAAATCCCTGGCCCCATAAGCTGCTTTTATAAGTCGTACAAATTGCTTCAGCAGGATTTTCTGAAATGAGCTAGGTAGGGACTCTGCAGTAGTTATTCGTAAAAGCGAGAGGGCTGCCTTAGATCGTGGTATCTTTGACTGTCTTTTCCTTCTAGCCCAGGTCTTATTCTTTCAACATGATTATATCATAGTAAGCCTCAAGCTTTCTTAAGAAAGCATAAATGTTGACTTGGGGATATTGCTCGGCGGTAGATCACTTGTCTGGGATGAGCAAGACCCTGGGTTCATTCCCCAGTGTTGAGGTTGGGGGAGCACTTAGAATGGATATTCACACTACCTCTTTTTGAAGGGCTCTTACATAATTATTTATATGCAAATATATAAGGGAATTGCAAATTAGAATGGAAAGAAGCATCTTTGTCTCATCCCAAATAATAATCAATAATAATAAATTGGAGTTAGTAACAAAGTATAGTCAGTTATACCAAAAATTAGATCAGCTGGAAAAATTAAACATTTTCCAGGTTGGTCCTCAATGTCACTTATGAGGAGGTGACTTTGTAAGTAAGTAAAGACATTATATTTCTCCAGGCATTTTTAGAGATGGAATGTTTTGCTTCTTCCTTGAAACCTGAAATGAATTAAATCTTTGACAGAAGCGTTGATTTCATAGTAGCCTATGCTTGTAGCATGAAACAAAATGTATTGGCAGGAGGAGCAGTTCTCTAGAGCAAACAGTGCAAGACTCTGCCTTGGCAAACTACCTTGTGCTCCTGGAAAAGTCTTGTTCTCAAGGAATTCCAATTTTTAAAAAATCACTTCCTAACAGTCTTGTGAAACAAAGAAGGAAAGAGTAGTTCAGTGTGTAATTATAGGGTAGGTGGTAGCACTAATAATAGACAAGAGAATTTCTGCCATCCTAAACAGAATGGGAAAGCAAATACGTATGGCTTAGTTCTAAGCTCACTACTATCTCATATCTGTTAAGCATTATATTCAATGAGCTACCAGGTAGACAACTTGGAAAAAGTTGTCGAAAGCAATTTCAAATATGTGCCAGGCTAGGCAAATGGTACCCAAAGTATAGGGCTGCTCTACAAACCTACCTTGGTAAGAAGCTTTCAAGAGCCGAACTCCCAAAATAGACACACCATGAGCAATGAAGACGAGGGAGGAATGCATTAGTAAAACTGGTTACTTGCCTACTGATGTCCACACATGCGACTACTCATGATTTACTGCAACAGTTATCAACTATGTTGGTTTCACGTAATTCGTTAGTGATTAAATTGCCATGCCAGACACTTCATTTAGTCTAACAGAGAGGATTCTAGTGGACGGATTATAGTGGGACGAGTTGGTGATGGGGGTGGTCTCCGGCTAGAAAGAGAAAAAGAGACAGGTAAAGAAACAGGATAGCAGAGAGCTGCTGTTCCCAAGGACACTGAGCGAGCCGTCATGCACACGCACATGCAGGTCGGGCCAGCAGGATACTAATGGTACCGTTGTCATCTTGGCTTCATCTGACAGTTTTCAGTGAGAAGTTAGGTATTTTTCCTATGAAAATCTTTCTCAAAACGGGTCGGCCTTTTCAATACTAAAAATAAGGAATCATTTGAAAACTACCTAAAAATATACTGCACATATTTCAACCCATAGAGTATAATAAGTTTGTACAATGGACTGGTTTTTGCTTTACCTATTCCAGGTACTGAAAAGGCATATTAAGTCTCAGGTAATTGTGATTTTTGAATATTTATCCGTCTTTATATAATTTTCTTTTTTTCTATCAGGATGTTAGTTCCCACCTCCTAATGCTTTTAGCCGTACTTTCTCCAGTTTGCTCTATGTTTTGCTTCTAATGTGCAGGGCACTAGAGATTCAAACAGTGAAGTCTCTGAGAGTTCTCTGCAACAAAGGTCCACAGGTTCACTCCGAGTGACTGAGGAAATAGCATGAGCTCTACTTCCGGTTTCGGTCCTAAAAGTTTCATTATCAGCAGTGATAATGATCCCTTTCTGGTTGGCAGTGTGGTGTTTCTGAGCGCTAAATGTACTGAGCAAGCATATTCCACCTTGTTAAATTTTACTGTAAATGAGATTCTCATTATTATCAAGTAATGTTATTTATTTCCTGAACTGTTAGATATATTTCCTAAATACATTAATGAATTTGTGTGTGTGTGTGTGTGTACTTCACATGATATACCTTGGGGATAACTTTAATACTCCCCAAATTTCAACAAATTATACAAACTGAGACATTTCACTTTGACAAAAACTCTCCATTGATTTTTTTTGCCCACAAGACTCCTGTAATTATAATCTCTTTGGGGGATTATTTTCTGTTTTGGAAACAATAAATCAGTCAGATTGAATGTCTACTTTCAGATTTGAAGAAGTGAAGTTAGACAGCTGAAGACAACAATGATGAAATGTTTAAAAGTCACATCTCTGTGGCCTGGTTGTTATGGCTGGCACTGTCACTGCCAAGGCCTTGGGCTCGCTTCCCTATCAAATAACAATAAAACGACCAAAAAAGTTCATGAAAAATCAAAGCAAAAGCAAAAGCAAGAGAATATTATCGATTAAGGGTGAAAATACTGACCACTTACACATAAACTCATAAATACTGAGTTTCCTTTTCACCCTATACTGAAAACATGTTTAAATGGCTTTAAAGCATTTTCCTGTGATGCATTCTAATATCCTCTTACTAGCTTTTATTTTTTTATTTGCAGGCACTCAATTTTAGAAGTATACATAGAGATACACTGCAGGCACAGTGAGAAAACTACACCTATACCAGTGGTATAATTTAGTAAACAAATAAGTCTTCCTCCTGCAGAAACGCTATGGTGACCACTTGAAACGCTTTGTTAATTCTCCACCAGGAAAAATCCTCTCACAATTTCATTCTCACCTGTGACCTCTTCTTTCTGTATACTGTTCATCTTTGTTTAAAATGGCCACATTTCTTCTGTCTTGAATCTTGTACCTGCATTGTTTTCCCCTTTGATGTGAAGTTTCTAGAGGCCAGAAGTCATGCCTACTTCACTTGTTTCACATGGTGTTTAGCACGGTGTGATAGGCAGCTACCTTCTCACTGTCCTTTTGTTCACCTTTTAATACTTTTCATCTCTCAACACTCATTAAAGCCTTCTCTGTCCTATTTCGCTCTGTTCCGATACAGCTGCTTCTGCGGCATATCAACACATCTCAGTCATTCAACTCATCTTGTTGAATGTTGAATTTCAATTAGGATTGCATGTTTATTTTCACTGATTAGATATGCACCGTGCCTTAGACTTCTTCAAGTTTCTACAATGTCTAGCTTTTTGCTTGTTGTTTAGTCAGTGAATGTTTGATAATTGAATAAAGGAAAGTTATTACTGTGGAAGTAAAACAACTTATGAATATTTATGATATTCCTTGGTTTTATGGTGACACAGGGGTATTTGTTAGTTAAGTCACGACCACGGTGCAAAAAAGTAAAAAATGACACAAAGGGCCGAGACTCCTGGAAATTTTACATAGAAAAAATGCTGGACTACTCTGATCTTCAGTAGGTGCTTAAAATAAGTATTAAATAATAGGTTCCCTATCCTAAGGGAGTTTGACAAATCATAATGTAACCTATGGAGATGTATTCTTAACAGTTAAGCAGTTACGGGGATGGGGGTAGATAGTTGCCCGGAATTTGATCTTGGAGGGAAACTCTACTCTAATAATAATGGGTTTACATGGGAGCTTTTATTGGAAAAAGTGTCTTAAGCTAAACATTCTGAGAAAGAGGCAGGACACAGTGTAGACTGGAAATTGTTTTATGCAAATTGATAGCTTAGACCACGACTGTTTGTAACCAAGACAGAAAGGAATGCAAAGGGATTGATTCTCTTCTGATCCCTCTGTTCCTGCCTTCCGTGGCATCCCTCAGTTCTTCTAGTTTCCCTTCTCTACCTCTCCTCCTATCACTTAACTCTGTGATTATGTATTTATTTACCAAACTTCTCTGTACTCACTCTAAACAAAAAGTTCCCAAGGATAGAAACCACATGTTACATTTTTTATATCTATTCAGCATTCAGTACAATAAAATTAAATGATAGTAAATTAATAATTTATTCGGTAATGGAACAATGAACAAATGGTTGACTGAAATGTATTTACCTAAGCACCATACTTATTCAGGGTATAGTCAGAGCTGGGGCAAATTGAGCAGGTCCAGGGAAGCCAGGTGTGCAATACTCTGAGGCATATGTCAGAGGCTTATTACATTTGAAGCAGTACGCTTACACAGAAAAGGTTCTGTACCAAAAGCCAACTGACGTGGACTTTAGATCCAATTACTGAATTGTGCAATCATCAATCTCCCAAACTTCTCTAGGCCTCAGTTTTCTCAACTGTGACACAGGCTTGGCTAGATGATATGTACCAGGACTTGTAGTTATATACTGCAGGTACTATTAACAAAGCATCTACTTTGCGGACTGCATCGTGTTGGATGATTTCTAAGGAGCTCAGAATATTCAGAGCGGCAGACTAGTAGAATAAGACAAAAGTGCAAGTGGTTTTACTACACAGCATGACATTTTAACTGGGATAATGGGGCAAAATTTTATAATTCACAGTGTAAGAGTATACTGTGAGAAGCTTGAAAACAAAACAGTGTGGTTAAAGCAAGGGTAAGCAAGATTTTAAATGTTGCATCTATAACTTGGAAGTTGTGAAGGAGTGTAGGTCTATTATGAGTGAAAGAAATGAAATTAAATGCTGAGAATCGAGGAATTCGTTGGTAAAGATGAAGAACAGAAAAATTCAAATACTCTGATGACTCAGTAAATTCTCATTTATCTGGTCTTTAATCCCTGGTCCATGATAAATGGGTCACGAGGAGGACAAATTAGTGGGCAGCTGAAGAAAGATGGCAAGAGAATACGTATTTCTGCTATGTGCCCGGTCTGCTGTGCACCTCATTTATTCCATGTCGCAGAACTTAGCATGGTCTTTGTTTCCTAAGTATTTTTTTTACCCAAATAAGTCAGGAGAACTTATCCACCCATGAGTTCATTAAGGCCCTTGCATTGAAAAAACCTCCACCAACTGTGTGGTGCCTTAAAAGATTGAAACGATAAAAAAACAAAATTCCTGTAGCGATTTCTCAACATGATTAGAACATCTTTGGAATACGCCCACTTTCCAGTTAAAGGAACCGACATATATACTTAATAATTAAAAATCCTAAAGATTCTCCCATTCTTCTGGAAGAAATAAACAATATTTTGTTTCTAAAACTATAAAAAGAGTCATTTCTGTGTAAAATTGTGCTAGAAAGCAATTAAAGAGAAGCATTAAGTTGCTCAGGGTGAATTTTTATTAATAAGCAATGTTAAGATGTTTGCCAACTCCAACACCAGAAAAACATTTATGTTTTACTGTTCATATTCATTTCATTGATCCAGTTCCTAACCATTCAAATAGTTTCCAAAGACATTCATTTCATTTTGGGCAAAGCAATGTTTTTTTGTTTTATACCAAATTTTCCTCAGTTGCTTTGTTTCATGACAGGCTTCATTAAGTAACCCATTATAATGAAATGGAGCATCTTGTATCAGTTAATATTTATTGAAATATTTCATTGTGTGTGGGCAGTTTATGGTTACGATAGACAAGCCAAATCTATTTCCAAATCAAAGGGAAGATGTAATACTTGAAGCTGGATTCATAGCTGCAGGGATGGACCATTTACAGCATTGTGGACAATGACAAATTTTGTAAGAAAAGTCAAATGTTCATGCAGTGTGGGTGGCATTTGGGGCCAAAAACTGGCTTCACCGATAAGAGAACAATGCCTCAATTGCTTTTTCTTTTAAGTCATGGTCTTTTAAGAATAAAGGAACTAACATTTCTTTTGCTCTTCTTTAGGTTAACTGGTCTTGAGTGCTCATGATATGAGGCCCATTTTAACAGGGGTTGGGGGGAAAGGTCAATAGGATGAACTGCTTTGGTGCCTCAGCTCCTCGGTGGGTGTGGAAACTATTCCTCTAAGTGTCTTGTTTCCAGGGGCAGAATGCAGATTTCTGAAGCAGCTTGATCTTTATGCAGCTGTAGATGGGAAGCACAAACCATGTGACTGGTGACTACAAGTCACGTTGGGCCTTTCCTACCACGATCCCGATCTACAATTTGTTCTTTTGGGAAGTTCTATTGGTATGGCCTAGAGCAGGCAAAGGATCTCAAATGATACTCTGCACCAGAATTCTTCGGAGGACTTGCTAAAGCACAGGTCACGAGGAACCACCCAGAGGTGCTTCTGGGCTGGGACATTTCCAACAAGGAGATTCGGATGCTGCTGATCCTGGCACTACTCTGAGGCATAAT